TCCTCAGGAACTTTGAGTTTCTGAGTCCATGAAGATGCCAGTAAGTACGTTTCTCTCTTCTTGTTTTTTTTCGTTTTTGGCTTAATTTCATTCTGAAAATTGTAAAGTATGAAACTTTGTGGTAGACGAATCTCTTATGGGTCAATACTTCAATTTTATGATTTCTCTCACTTGTTTTGATGAATCTCTCTGTTGTTTTGTCAAACTCTTGTGAAGAGAATCATATGAGATCGAAATATCTTCTGGGTTTGTTTCTTGCATCAGTTCTGTGTTAATTCTTTGTAATTGAGACCTCCCAGTAGCTAAATCTGGAAATCTGTCTAGATTTTAGATTTTGTTTCCTCTGTTTTTTACTTATTAGTTCTGTTTCTGTCTTCTTGGATCTTTATGTCTTGATGTTTGATTATGCCGATACTTCCGTTAGTTTCCAAGTTCATGACTGTTTCTCGGGAAAAATCCTATCAGATTTCCAGGAATTTCTCTATGGAAACCGAAATTTTCTCGATAAAGTTTTAGTTTTTTCGGAATTTCCTATGTTCACACAGTGGAAGAAGTTCATTGTCTCTTACCAAACTCAGTTTTCCGGGAATTTTTTTTTTTTTTAGCTTTCATCATTTTCGATCCAATTTTAAACTGATTGGTTATAGCTGTAATGCAGGTGGCATTGGTCTTGCTACTGGCATTTACCAGTCTATTGATCAGAGGAGAAAGCAATAATGACTTATGCAAGGAGAATTTCAAGTTAGACCCGAGACCACACAGTGTTTCGATCCTCGAGTTTGGAGCGGTTGGAGATGGGAAGACGCTGAATACGCTTGCTTTCCAGAACGCTATTTTCTATCTCAAGTCTTTTGCGGATAAAGGCGGTGCTCAGCTTTATGTTCCGCCAGGGAAATGGCTCACGGGAAGCTTCAATCTCACGAGCCATCTCACTCTCTTTTTGGAGAAAGGAGCAACAATTCTTGCATCGCCGGTATGATCTCTCTAGCAAAGCCTATGTAGTCACTTGCGTTTAGTGTTCGTTCGGTATTAGGTGTTCGTTCGGCTTTCTCTAGCTCTGTAGGACGCGTTTGGATGGACAAGTTTCGTGTTTAGCCTTGGATATAAAGGTAACACTGTTTCTCTTTCTTTATCTAACTTTCTAGGATCCGTCGCATTGGGACATTGTCAGTCCTCTACCGTCCTATGGTCGCGGAGTTGAACTTCCCGGAAAGCGGTACAGAAGTTTGATCAACGGGGACAATCTATTAGATGTAGTCATCACCGGTAACAATAAGCTCATACCACTATTACCACTGGTCTCTCACTTGAGGACATTGAGACTTAAATTGATTTATATATGGCAGGTGATAATGGGACATTTGACGGTCAAGGTGCGGCGTGGTGGGAGTGGCTTGAGACGGGAACCTTGAATTATAGCCGACCTCATATCATCGAATTCGTCTCCTCCAAACACATCCTTATATCGAATCTAACCTTCTTAAACGCACCCTCGATCAACATTCACCCTGTTTATTGTAGCCAGGTTCATATCCGAAAAGTTTTGATCGAAACATCCGTTGATTCTCCATACGTTCTCGGAATTGTCCCAGGTAAAATCATTTCGTCATTCTATTCCATTATGTTAACGTTTGGAAGCTAATTTCTTTGTCGTTCAACAGATTCTTCGGACAATGTTTGTATCGAGGACTCAACTATTAACGTCGGCCACGACGCGATTTCTCTCAAGAGTGGTTGGGACCAATACGGCATAAACTACGGCCGTCCAACCACAGCTGTTCATATTCGGAATCTGAGCTTAAAGTCTCCCACAGGCGCTGGAATCTCCTTAGGGAGTGAGATGTCAGGCGGAATCTCCGACGTGGCAATCGAGCTTCTCAGTATACACAGCTCACACGTAGGCGTTGCTTTCAGAACCACCAGAGGCAGAGGAGGGTATATTCGAAATATCACAATCTCCGACGTCGTTCTTGCTGGCGTAGACACAGCCATAGTCGCCGACGGACACACCGGGTCGCATCCGGATGATAAATTCGACCGGGACGCACTTCCTGTCGTATCATATATCGTCTTGCGGAATTTCACTGGAGAGGATATAGGATTAGCTGGGAATTTCTCCGGAATCGGAGAGTCCCCGTTCACGTCGATATGCCTCACGGATATTCATTTGCAAACGCATTCGGAATCTTGGGTATGCTCCAACGTCTCTGGTTTCTCAGACGATGTATCGCCGGAGCCTTGCTCAGAGCTCATGAGTTCTCCGTCGTCGTCTTGCTCCGCCGGTGGTAGTAGCATATACGGGGGAGATACCGCGACGCAGTTATACAGTTGGTAATTATAGTAACCAATAAAGGGTGGTGAACAAGAAGAGAGTGAGGTGGGAGTTTGGTTACGATACGATTGAATTTTCAAATTTTTTTTTTGTCAATAAGTCATAAAATTTGTTGTCAAGAGGAAGGAAAAAAAAAAATTACGTTTTAAGTGGTGAGTTTTAAGAAAACAGAGCTTCTGTTGTATTTGTTGTGTACAGCTTTCATTTCTTCATTCATGGTGTAAGAAATTTATTCATGTTCTTTCATTGTTGTTCTTTGAAAAAAACAAAAAAAACTTTTTGGGACAAGTGAGGAGATTAAGGTTTGACTAATACGAAGAAGTTTGTGATTCTTCATAACATGCATAGTAAGTTGAAAAGTGAGGAGATTATAGTTATTTATATGTAACTTCCAACAATCTCGTTTAGTCTCTGAAATGAAAAAATGCTTATCATTAGATAATCATGTCACATTGAAAATGTGGATCACGAATTTGTCATTGCGGTTTCCATCTCTCAAAAACATACTGAAGTTGTGACTTTATCGTCTTCAAGTTGACTCTATGTTTCTTGGGTACTATCTCTTATAACCAATCTTTTCATATACCAAAATCCAGAGTCTCTC